CAATACACAGGGTAAACCAAGAGATGCAATCATTGCAAACATTTTTTGTCTGGCTTTCATTGCTGTCTCCATACCATGCGCCATCGACCCAATCACTGCTCGCATTCTTACTATGGGAAAGGGAGCCAATTGGTAGTTCGCCTTCGGGTTATGGTGCTACCGCATGAGTAGGTATTTACAGTTACCGGTAGTTACAGGATTTCAGATACTAGCGTAAGGTACTACAGTACTTTGGGATAGGATGGATAATACTGAAGTATTTAATACCACGTAGTACGTAGTCTTAATGACTCCCCGGAACAACCCACGCCGGAACTCGACGGCCCCCTCGGCAGAGGCTAAATTCATGGAAGGTTCGTATTCATGTCACGCAAAAACACTTTCGTTTTTTGTTTCTGATGGACAGTGAGATGAGTACCGATACGGAAATATGGTACCGGTAATTAATACCAACACAAAACAATGTGCCGGCCATCGTTTGCGAAGTTTTTAGCAGTCCACAGACCACCATAGTCGTAGTAATGAGTTGTTAAGTGATTAACAGTAAAAAAGAATGCTTCTTTACGCCAATAACCGATAATGCGTAGAAATATTAAATACTACTCAGAGTACTATGGCCTAATGACCATGCTGCTCGCAAGCTCACAATCAAGGCATTTTGTGAAGACGTTCCAGGATATCATCATGGTCTCTCTGCTACTGTCTCGACTCAATGACATCTGAAGGTCTGGAACAACATCTACGTAGTACCAACAACTTCTTTCCTTGATCTGCTTCCCACGATGGTTACAATCACGCGTGATAAAGGATTGAAACGCAGCCATGCCACACTGTGTCGTTTGATGCAAGGATTTTTAGTGGTTCTGTTTTTCGTAATGGTTTCGATGATCCTGTTGGGCTGGGACCTCAACGACGCTTTTAACTATTCTGCACAACCGTTCAGTTCGTCGATATCGATCCGAGATATGGTGGCTTCGGATTATTCCAATGGCAGTCCACGGACTTCATCCTGTCTTGTAGAGCCAGTCAAATCGCCCACCGCTATGATTGCTGAAAGACAGGCCAACGATGGGACCATCCCACATCCGCAAAATTCATCTACTGCTACCGTAATGGCCATGGCAACAGGTTACAGACTTGACGAATACAAGCGCTTTGTAGGGTCTCTCCGCAAGTCCGGATACCAAGGTCACATCATCCTCGCTGTATCCCCGAAACTGGAACCTGAAACTGAAAAGTATTTCATATCGAGAAATGTAGATTATCGCAAGGTTCAATACGTCAACTGTTCGCATCCTATAATTTCTCCAGGAGAAACAAAGAACTCGCATGACAAAGAACTGGTGACCTGTGTTCATCCGTATCCATCGTTAAAACATCGATGGGCGCGGTTTCCTTTACTCCGGGACTACCTCAGAGATTGCGTGACCTGTACTGGTCCAGTACTGATCACGGATATGAGAGATACAGCTTTCCAACGTGATCCCTTTGGGCCGGAAGCGCCAGTGGTTCCACCCAATACATTACAAGTATTTCAGGAACACTATACCATGCGTACTACACACTGGCTCGTCAATTGGCCCGTTAAAGACTGCAAAGGAGTCCAATACGACGAGCCCATGTTATGCAGCGGCACCACCATTGGAACGCGTTCTGCCATGTTGGAATACCTTCGGGTCATGCACGTTGAAATGGACGAATGGATGAAGGATCCCAAGTGTTGCTGTTTCAAGACTAACGGAGACGATCAGTCAATTCACAATTACCTATTTTACAGCGGGAAACTAGATCATATAGCAGTTGCGATTCCAAATCGGGTCGGACTGGTCAACACAGTTGGTGTTCAGGCGTCAATGATCTTTACTAATCATGTCGCTAACCAAAGGAAAGCACTCGAAGCAGCGGGAGAGAAAGCCGACGATGCGCATATGGTTGCGTTTGATTTGACTGCAGATAAACGTTACGATAGGAATGGTGGAAATTGGTTGGGTTTACATTACGGAATGACTGACGAAGCAGGTTACCTTGTCAATTTCGATGGATCGCGATCTTTTGTCATTCATCAAATTGATCGTTTTGGCTTCCACTACATGTATTGGTTGCAGGATAACAAAGAGAAGTTTGTGGACGAGTAGTGATTTGATTGAATGTGCCGGTAAGTGAGCAATGTTTTAAACATTTGAAAATACTAGTAATTACATGGTTAGTTGATAGTTGATAAGCGTGTCCTTGCATGGATGATTCCGTCAAAAAAGTAGAGAGCGTCGTTACTTTTGCATGTATTGTTCCTTTTCCTTCACAAACTTGTCGTGGTCAATTCCCAGGCCTTCCGGCGCAACACCTCCCTTCATTTTGGCGAAGCGTTCCATGACCGTAGTGCGATGTTCTTTGGACCAATCTTTCAGGACAGCACCACGATTGTTAGGATTGACTTGAACATCCTTGTAGCCAAACAAGGCATTGGCACCCATTCCAACCATCCATGTCATCCCGCATCCCATGATTAGCATGATTGGGTAACAAGAAGGATCAGATAGCCACGACTTTTTGAAGTCGTTTTTTTGTTTGATCAACTCGTGTGGATGGAGAGTTGCCTTGGATCGAAGCTGTTGAGAAGCACGACGGCCGATTAAAGTTGCGTTGTTACGGGCAAGAGAGAACATGGTACACTTTGCTTGACAAAGGATCGTCGTCAGACTGTCGAAGATAGATCTGTTGATGAAAGATGAACGCTGTTGGAGTCTTTTTGCTGGAGTCTCTTTTAAGTTGTGAGATTATATGAAAGTGGTTGCTGGATCATACGTAGAGTGTTGAATCTCATCCGTTTTCGATCAATGAGAAGCCCCAAGGTCAGAAATCCGAAGTCAACGTGTGTCATCACATCTGAAAGGTTCGCATTCGATTCCAGCAAACTACGTACTACTACTAGAGTCGTAGTAGACTACGGTAGTACGGTAGACTATTACCGGTACTCGTATGATACTCCGACTGTAGTGCGGTAGTGCGGTCCCTTTTTACGCGACGTACGACTTTAGTATTACCGGTACGAGTACCGTATCTGCCGGTAGTACGGTAGACCTTTCGTTGAAACTCTTTCGCCGTCCTCTGGGAGTCGACTTCCTCGAACAAGTACAATGTTTGTTCGTTCCTATCTTTCATATGCTTCTATCATACAGTATTGTTCGCACCAACACTGGCAATGGCGAACCTTCTGATTGGTGGATTTGCCCTCTACTCTATCTTACTACCGTAGAGCCTTCGCACGCATCCATGCCACGATGCCATACGTACTTCGCGTGAGGGACATCATCAACGACGTCGAAAGATTCCTAGAAGAAAGCAACTTCGCCCGTCGTCCACAAACAACGGAACCCAAGATACACCCGCCTCCGCATTTCACCCCATCGTTGCAAGCTTGGTACTCGCATTTTCAATTTCCTATCATCATGTTTGCTGTATCGAGGTCCTCCGCTCTTTTGGCTTCCCGTGCAGCGTTCCGACGCAGGTACGTCATGAATAGAAAATTGGTCCGATCACGGAGATCGATGGCAAAAAGTACATTAGCGAAAGCTTGTTGTTTACAGTTCATCTGAAGTAACTGTCAACACTTCTGTTGGAGCAGTTGGATGTGCCAATATCATGGCTTCTGTGATATGCCCCCGGTCCACAGCTTCATATGGGGGACACCGATTTCTGGGCGAATAGAAAGAAAGAAACGTTTGCTGCGATGCTTTGAAACAGAACGTCGTTCATTGCCGTCGTGTACTCTCGACCAATCAATGTAACGCACCCAAATATTTGTTGCATTTTTCTCATTTTGGTCTTCCGATGTTCTTCAATTTCTTCTGATCTAAATCACTTGTGCATTCTGTGATTGACTGTGATTTGTTGATGCTGCCAAACAGTTTTGCTGCTGTTCAGGCTGCCGACAAACATACTTTGGTCTTGGTGAGACACGGTGAATCGACCTGGAACTTGGAAAATGTTTTTACGGGTTGGTATGACTGTCCTCTCAGCGAAAAAGGACACGGTGAAGCTCAAGATGGAGGGAAGCTCATTGCTGCAGAGGGTATCAAGGCCGACATTGCATACACCTCCCTTTTGAAGCGTGCCATCCGCACCTTGTGGCACGTACTGGAACAAACCGATCGAATGTGGATCCCCGTGAACAAGTGTTGGGAACTCAATGAACGACACTACGGAGCATTGCAAGGACTGGACAAGCAAGAGACTGTCGACAAATATGGAAAGGACCAAGTACTTGTATGGCGTCGTTCTTACGATGTTCCTCCACCTCCGGTGGACAAGTCCAGTCCTCACCATCCTGCCAACGACGAACGTTATTCCGGCAGGGAGTGGCCAGAGGAATTCACGGAATCTTTGGCGACCACTTTGGAACGTGTCGTTCCTTTTTACGAGTCCGAAATCGTTCCTAAACTCAAGGCTGGCAGCACTGTCTTGATTGCTGCTCATGGAAACTCTTTGCGCGCTTTGGTCAAACATTTAGACAGTATCGATGAATCAACGATTGCGGAGTTGAACATTCCCACTGGAACACCACTAGTGTACGAGTTGGATGAAAATTTGAAGCCCATCCCACAACCAAACGCCATTGCACCACTTCAAGGACGATACTTGGGTGACCAAGATGCCATTCGTCAACGCATTGAGGGAGTCAAGAACCAGACCAAGTAGATGCATGGAAGTAACTGTATTAAAAAATGAATAAGCGACTTTTAATGAATAATATACATGATTTGAATGATTGAATTTGGAGAAAACGCCATAAACTGCTTTCCCCTATTCGCACCAGCGTCTTTTTCGTCTCAAAATGGGAGTCGCTGAACACCCACCGCAGCCCACACTAATCATCAATTAGATTTTATGTTTTTATTCAAACCGAAGTTGTTGATAGAGGCATGTATTAGAGTGGCTCCAGTAGACGGAGGGATTGGAACGAGGCAAAAGAGTTGATGCCCGCGGAGGGAAGAAGAGGCAAAAGAGAACAACACCTGGGATTCCAACGTGGTCCCCCAACGTAGTACTAACCAGGCCCGAACATACTTAACTTCGCTGAGCGGACGGGAAGCGGTGCTGTCATGTTGGTATGGTCGTTCCCATCAACTACAGTCGACAATTTAATTTATATTCATTTTTGTCTGGGTGGATGGTTCCAGAACAACATCATCATTGACTGTGAGTATTTCCCACGAGTAATTGTTACCTTACAGTTAGTTCAGTGTCGACTACTAGCGACCTAGTTCAACAAAGTTAACACTCAAATAGGACAATCCTCCGCCTTCTATTATTTCCACCAAAATAATATTGAGGCCAATCGCAGCAAATCAAAACCTTTCTCCTTGATCCAGCATCATGATTGACACTTTTGTTGATGGGGACAAAGCCACGGAGTTGTTTCGGAAAACAACGAAAGACGACGATCACCTCTAGCCAAGCTGCTCTGCTTCGCAATGAAAAATTAATGAAGATCTTCCCATAATTGAGATCTTTGAAAAAGCTTTGAAAAAGAAATCACCAACCTCGGACCGATAAAATCAAACAGTTGTCCAGCTTCGCGATGCTTTCCTATTTTATTGTTGTTGTTGTTGTTGTTGTTGTTGTTGTTTAGCTACTACTACTCTAGCTAGTACTTCGGTACGATTGATGATTTTCCAGCCTACTACTGAGGCTATTCTTAACAGTGAACATTGTGATAACAAGGGAGAGGCCGAGTAGAACTGCTACAGTTGTAGGCACGGTCGTGGAGAATGCTACTAACTACTCTGGTACTTTACTGGGGTATACCAATAGCTACTCTACTCTAGCTACTACGTTGTAGGGGCGACGTACCGGTAGCAAGAGAGAGTGTATCAATCATCTACGTCGTAACTGTAAAAAAAAAGTGAAAAAATAGTACCGGTAATAATGCTACGGCGTACCGGTACCTATTGCAACACCGTACCGGTAGTCCACTACGTTGTAACGGTACCGGTAGGTAGTGTCTACGGTAATAGGGCTACCGGAAACCACGTCTACTACGGCACGGTACCGGTACGTTCGTACCTTTGAACTTCCTGTGCGATGATGATCAAGACGTTGGTTCATCATGATACACTGCGTGTTATTTAAACAACAACGAATAATGCATAGTGATACAGATCTTCATCTTTCGTCAGATCCTTTCCTTTTTAAAGATCATCAGGATAGACGACGATCCGCATCCGACACTCTTTTCGGCGCGAGATATTTGAACTACTATTTGAATCGTTATGCCATTATTGAGACTCTCCATCAGCGCTGCTCCTTTGTGGGTTTTGCTGTTGGCAGCTGTTGCAACACCGCGAGTGCGTTCATTTATCCCACTAAGAAAGAATTTCGTAGAAAATACCCATCGCCTTGCCCCACGGCCGCTATCGACAATCCCTCTGACCAGCACCCCGTTTAGTGGAAGCGGATGGGACAATGACAATTTCCTTGAATCGTTATCCAAACCGCTAGAGGAACCACCCAGTTGGGGTCCTCCGCTTCCATCGACATTTTCACCCGACACGGCATCGTCTAATCTTTCGCCTCCCCCGACAAACTTTCAACCACCAATACCACAGCCCCAACAATCGGAGACTTGGACGTATTCCCCTCCTCCTCCTCCTCCTCCGTCGCCTAGTTCACAAATTAACGCACAACAGGATCAACATTATAATCCATATCCTGTTCCTCCCGAACTACAGGAATCCTCTGCTTCGGTCCCAAATGCCAACGAAAGTAGCAACCCTAGCGACGATTTGCCAACAGCAGATATCGAAGGTGCGCTACTCACACCAGAAATGAAGGAAAAAATAAAAGTCACCAACGAAAAACCGGGAGAAGAAGCATCTCAGGGTGGAGAGCGATTCCGAAAACTAATGGAACGAGCCAGACAGCAGCAGCAGCAGCAGCAATTGCAGCAAACTTACCAGACACTGCCATCGCAACAATCACCATCACTATTTCAAATCTCTCCCGATGCCATGAATTTGCCCGTAGAAGATCAAGCTCGGTTATTCCGTGAGCTCATGGCACGACAACAGCAAATGCATCCGCCACAGCATGTAACACCACAACAGCAGCATAGTTATCAAACAGATCCCTATCAACAGCAATACGCTCAAATGATGCAACAATACCAACAACCTCCAACTCTCCCGCCTCCGCTACCGTCTCAACAGTATGAACAGCAATATTTACAGCAGTCTCCCTCACTATGTTCTTCCGCATCTCAATCCCAATATTCTCAATTGCGTACCCAGCAAATGGCCCCAAACGTCATATATAGTCCCGAAACAAGTCCGTATCCCAATTATTTGGAACCTGGTGTTGGCTTTGATGGTCGTAAAATTGGGCGGAATCGCGATGCCGATACTATTTCCAATGCCTCCGACGCGTACTTTGCACAGCTCAAACGAGATTCCACCACTCGAAATCTAGCACGGTACGCGGGGGACGAACGAAAGGCCAACGAAATCTTTCACGATCCTGCCATTCAAGACATCCAACCACCACCGTCGAATCCACATTTGGACGAACGGCGTCAACGCGAGCGCGACATGTTGGAAACCGTGCCAGAAGAGATGCTGGTCTTTCAAGAGTACGACGACCAAAGGGCCTCCGACAAGACGTATTCGGGAGTTTCTTACAAAGACAAGGTGGCGCAACTCAAAGCGCGACGAAACAACACAAACAACGGTAACAATGCTTAAAAGGTATTTTAGGGTTCAGATTACGACGTTCGACAGGAGATTATTTTTTGCCTCACATCGAATTATCTACTTCAATCGTCATCGTTCAAATGAAATCGGCCTCCATATTTTTCCGGAACTACAAAGAAGCAACATTCACCATTATCCCCATGAGGACAATCCATACCGATGGCTCTGTCGGGACGTTCTTCTTGACACTGTTCCTCTAGCACCAAAAAGTCCTCTTCGTTTCCTTGAGTGATAACAAGATCATACAGATACCGTTCCAGCAATTCCCGAGCTTCCAACGGACTAGCTAAGGAATCCTCGGGGGTGGATATCGCCATTGCCAGGGCTTTGGATGGTATCCACTCCAAAAGGGTGTTGTTCTGTCGGGGATGAAGATAAAACGACGTTGACAGTGCACCACCATGCCCATCACTTTCTGTTGCAAATTGTTGACTCTTCCTCACCACAATTCCTCGTTTCCTTGTCAAAAAAAGTGCCGAATCGATCATTTCGACCGATTCATAAAAGTATCCTTCTACCACTCGAGTGGCAACTAGACACCAGAGGACCAAATCATCCTTACGTTGATCACTTCCTTGGTGATACGCGTGTAAAAAATCATCCCCACACAATCCCCTTTGGACTAACGATTTTATGTTTGCTGCATCCCATGCCTTGACGATGACCTTGGTAGACGCCAATCGATGTTTGAGTTGATTGCGACTCCGAACGACCTTTTTGACAGCCTCTTGAGCGAACACATTATCAGCCGTGGCAATCGAATATGTTTGATAAAATCGTGGCAAATCTCGATCGAGAATCACCGAATTAGGATACTTTGTAGCAAGATAGAAAGGTGGGACCTTCCGTCGTTGGAAAAGTCGTTGGAAAATTTGAGGTTGAGTATATTTTATTATGGTGCCAATGGAAATGATCAGCGCTGTAAAGACTACCATGAAAATTTGAAGAAACCTGGCGGATGATTCGCCTGTACTTTTCGTCATGATGTCTTTTAATCGTTGTTCGTCCTGTCTGTGCTGTGCATTCTCTTGGATGATTCTGGCACGACGATGCCGTAACTCTTGCTGCTTTTTGCTTTGTAGTGGAGAAGACATGGTGGATGGTTGGGTCAATGGAAGACAGAAAGGAAAGATTCCAAGATCAAAAAATGAACAAAGCAAAATTTCACGACCGATGAATGCACTTCCTTCCACAGCCTTCACTTCTTTCTCAATCTTTGCGGCGTAGGCTTAGATTCCCTTATAGAGTTGGGTGATAGTTTCAGAAAACTTTGCTGCTTAGTAATTGATTGGCCAAGCATAAAGCATTATACTCTTGCGTCGGAATGCAGGGGATGGGAATGTAGTATAACGAATCATGGGGAGAAGGTCGTTGACGAAGATTTTTTTCACTGTCATGACCATGATGATTGATGTTCGAATGTGTACTACGTTATTTTCAGTTACGACAAAGTACCTACAGTACCTACGAAGTACCGGTAATGTTTACCCGGTACTACCGGTACTACGGTACATACGGTACGATGTAACGGTACTTTATTACTAACGTACGCACTCGACTGCCACAATTACGTAGCTAGGTAGTTTGCACCCCTACATAATATTATTATTACTGTTATTACCGGTAGGGGTACCTCTCTATGGTAGACTTGAATAATAAAATCTATTTTAAGGCTATCCAAACTACTAGCTACAGCCTAGAGTGCCGTCTCTAAGTAGTTGGATCACCTGCCGGGCCCCGAGGGGCGAGGCAATGCAGGGAGTACCAGAAAGATACTCCAGGGAGATAGGTATGGTATAAAACCTCCTACGGGAGGAGGAAAATTCATCTGGTGGAGTAGAGGATCAGATGAGAAGGTGTAATACCGATGTTTTTGTGTTTGTGTGGCCTGTTCCAGGGGTGGGGGTGGTTGTGATAACTCGGTGCCAGGAGCTGCATTCACCGTTGGATGAAGTTGTTCTTTGGAAGGGTGGAGACGCTGGGACCTATAATGGCATGTCCTATTTTGGCTTTGATCTTCCTTTGTTATGTGTGCATCAGACATGTTGTCATCTTGACGAAGGATGACAGTGGGCTCGGTACGTCTTTGCTTTCGCATAGAAGAGGGGACGTTCCGGGAGGGAGGTTGAAGGGGATCTTGGGGTGTGGAGCACATTGAAATGATAAGTTCTTGCAGCATGGTGATCATTTGATTGAGTTGTTGGTCATAGCGTGCCAATCTTTCCTCCAGTCTCTGCTCTAGTCGCTGCTCCAGTCGTTGTTCTTGTGAAGCTAGGAGGGCCTGCATTTGTGCCTCTGTGTAAAATGTGTTGGATGCGGTTTCTGGTTGGGTGGGTGGTAATGCGGTGAGAATTCCTGCCGCTACTGCTGACCA